CATCACCAGACCATCCATCTGATTCTTCACTGGTGGATCTCCACCTAATTTGTCACCTCAAAATTCCTTCATTTTCCTTAAGGCTCCGAGAGGATACAAAACCTAAGAATGAATGTAGCCAGAGTGGCTAAAAAAGTAAGTATATTTAGCTATATGACCTTGGGCGAGTCCTTAACCTCTCTGTGCCTTGTTGCCTCATCTGTACAATGAGAATAATAGCACCACCTATTAGAGTTGTTATGAGAATCAAATCAGATAAAAGCACTTAGAATAGAGTCTAGTACTTTGTACATCTTCAAAAAATATGTATTATTATTTTATTCCTACTATTATAGTATCATCATCATCATCATCATCCGTCCTGGAATGCAGCATGTGGAAGAAAAAGAAGTCAAGGGCCAGCCCTGTGGCTTAGCGGTTAAGTGCTCGCGCTCCGCTACTGGCGGCCCGGGTTCAGATCCCAGGCGCGCACCAACACACCGCTTCTCCGGCCATGCTGAGGCCGTGTTCCACATACAGCAACTAGAAGGATGTGCAGCTATGACATACAACTATCTACTGGGGCTTTGGGGAGAAAAAGGAGGAGGACTGGCAATAGATGTTAGCTCACAGCCAGTCTTGCTCAGCAAAAAGAGGAGGATTAGCATGGATGTTAGCTCAGGGCTGATCTTCCTCACAAAAAAAAAAAAAAAAGTCAAAAATGACAGGTTCAATCCTAGCTGGTTTTGTTGCTTGTTTGCCAATATGACATGAGGAACTTCTCTGAGCCATTATTTACTGATCAGTAAAATGGGGGGTAACTCACCTATCCATAGGTGACTCCTCAGCAATACTATTCTCAGGTTTAAGGAGCCGTGTCTTTTCAATTTTGCTAGATAAGGCCAAATTGTCCTCCAGCAAGATGCTGGGTTTTTTTTTTTTTAAAGGTTATTATGACAAAGGGTCAGCACAAGAGAATTTGGGGGATGATAATATTTTCTATCTTGTGGTGGTGATGGTTACATGGCTCTATGCATTTGTCAAAACACCCTGGAACTGTACCCCACAAGGAGTGAATTTTACTGTATTAAAAGATAAATAATACAAATACAAAATATGTTGAACACTTTTTAAAAGATGAGGAGAGGGGCCGGCCCAGTGGCACAAGTGGTTAGGTGCGTGTGCTCTGCTGCAGCAGCCCGGGGTTCGCCGGTTCGGATCCCAGGCACGCACCGACGCACCGCTTGTCAAGCCATGCTGTGCTGGCGTCCCATATAAAGTGGACGAAGATGGGCATGGATGTTGGCCCAGGGCTAGTCTTCCTCAGCAAAAAAAAAGGAGGATTGGCTGATATTAGCTCAGGGCCAATTTTCCTCACAAAAAAAGAAAAAAAAAAAAAGATGAGGAGAATTTAAATAATGCAAGTGAAGTGTCCGAGTGATCTCTCTCTCAGGGCCCCTTGGCCTCCAGACGCCCACTGCCACTTTAACAGATGCTTCTAGCAAATCCTGACTTTCAAGCAGTCTGAAAATCACTCATGACAGCCACATAAACCACATAAACCAAGGGGAATTCATTCCAGCACAGATCTTAGCCCACAAATCTGACCCCTAAACTCACTGTCACGCCAATAACCTCTAGCCAAGCACCCTGGTCATTTCCTGGGCTGGTGGCAAAACTGCTCAGCTTCGAGGCTCTGGGTGGGACTCGGGCCTGAACAGTGACTGTTGGCTAAAGCTAAGTGTGTCGGATTGGGAGTCCAGCAATCTGGACCCTCAGTTTCCTCATTTAAGCAGGGCGAGAAAGCCCTCTCCGTGTTATCATACAAAGGCACAGGGAATTGGGAGTGCAAATTAGAGTGTAGACCAGGCTGGGGAGGAGTTAGGAGATGGTCGGGAATCCTGAAGTCAAGTGCATAAGTGAGGGGCTTCTGTGTGTGTTGGACGTAGGGAGAAGATTCTTGGGGGGCCCCAAAGTTGATTCTGGGGGAGGTGTTTGCGAGGGTAAGAGCAGACTGGCCCAGATGTGGGGGAAAAAGAAAGATCCGGGAGGTTGTACTGCTGAGGTAGGTGGCAAAGGAGAGCCTAAGATTGATGGCCCGGATGCTGGAGATGACCCAGGAGAGCGAACAGCAGTGATGGGGGAAACTGAAGAAAGGGGGGCTCTTAGGAGAGTGACTGTGAGAGGAGGGGAAAGCTGGCAGCTGGAAGAGTGGGAAGAATCCTAGAAAGAGGACTTGAAAGGGAAACTCTTGATCTAGAGGACGCCGGGTCTTCTAGGAGTGTGAAGAGCGGTAAGAGGAAGACGCCCTCAGAGCGGGGAAATTCCCAAGGCTGAGGGAGGCCCTGAGGACCACCTTCTGAACCCAGAAGGTAATTTCTGCTCTCTGATGGCTGAGGGGACTGTCAGGGCACTGGGGAAGTGCTGTGTGGAAGTTCTCAAAATGCAAGGAAGCCCTGAAGGTGACCCCCTGAACACAGGTGACTCTGAAAAAGATGACAATGAAAAGGATGATCCCAAACCTATGTTAAAGGGGGAGGGGCAATTCCAAAGGAGGGAGAAGGCCTGAGGATAATCCCTGAATAGTCCTCTGGACAGCGAAGAGGGGGGCTAACTGTGAGGGGAGCCCCTAGGGAGACAGCGCAGGGTTCACAGGGCAGGGATGACCCCCCTTGACTGTGAAGGACACTCTGGGGTGTCCTGAGTGTGACGGAGCTAGCAGCGAGGAGGGAGGGCTTAGGGAGACAGTGGGATGCCTCACAGATAGGAAACCTGGCAGAGGAGAAGCTGGCAGAGGAGACCTTCAGGTGGCTTCAGTATGACCTCCCGAATTTCAAAAGTGTCAATAAAACTCCTGAAAAGATGGAGGTGGGGGAAGACGGAGAATGGCAGTGAGGGTTGACCCTGAGGACTGGGGAAAGGAAGGAGAAGGAATAGGCACCTGAAGATGCAGGTATCCCTGGAGACCACCTCCCCTGGATACTGAAGGGTGCCTGGGGTCTCCTGAAGGAGTGGGGGACCTCACTATGGCCACCCCCTAGAACTTGCAGGGTTCAAGGACTTCCCAAGGGGATCTGGGCCTGGAAGAAAGGGGAAAGGGGCTAAGAGGAGGGGAGGCTGGACTTCTGAGGGTGGGAGGTCCCACTCTCCATCCTGAAGGGCCTAGAAGTTGGGGGGGTGGGGCATAAACAGGAAGTGTGGGAATCCTGACTGGGTGGGCCAGGGACCACTCCTTGGAGTCTGCAGGATTCCCGGGGTCCTCCAAGGGGGCTTGGGGCTAGAAATAAGGGTTGGTTAGTGACAAGAAATTTTCACATAGAGGTATATGGGGCAGCTATTCTGGTTCAAAACTAATTCAGCTTAAACTAAAGAAGCCTGATTTATGGCCTATCACACATACACTGTACATCTGCTTTAACCATTCAAGTAAAGAAAGCATTAAATATTATCTCAAAGTAAAAGGTTGCGGGGCCGGCCTGGTGGCGCAGCGGTTAAGTGCGCGCGCGCTCCGCTGTGGTGGCCCGGGGTTCGCCGGTTTGGATCCCAGGCGCGCACCAACGGACTGGTTGTTAAGCCACGCTGAGGCGCATCTCATATAAAGTAGAGGAAGATGGGCATGGATGGTAGCCCAGGGCCAGCCTTCCTCGGCAAAAAAGAGGATTGGCAGATGTTAGCTCACGGGAGATCTTTCTCACCAAACAAAAAAAAAACAAAGTAAAAGTTTGCATTCTTAAGAACCCATACTTCCCCTCCTACGCCCACCAGTATGGCTAAATTAGTACTACTGAAGAAAAGTTCCCTTTCCCGGACACCAGGGTCATGTTGACCTGCTAATTTGCAACTGAATACCTCTTTGAAACTTTGATGAATATGTATCCTGGGCGTGTTTAATGTATGTTCTTCATTCTAAAAAAAGGTATAAAACTCTGCTGAAAAACCATGCTTCTCCGGAAGGCTTTCTTCTGTGGGAGATCAGAACCGGCCACCTCAAAATGTCTCTTTACCGTGATTATTTTCTGTGAAGGACATCTGACCTTCCCCCAAACTGCCGAAAAGCAATAGACTGGGAAGGTCCTTGCTAAGCCCATTCTTATCACAGTTCTGTTTAAGGGAAATCTCCATTTGTAAAGGTATCTCCCTGCCTGTACCAGGAAGAAGGGGGGATGACCTTATCTCTAGAAACTCTTATCAGTGCAGAAGGTGAGAATTTAAATCTGCATAGTCTTGATTACTGTGCTTTCTGGTAATCTCCCATAGCTGAGCCCCCCACCCCCTACATCCTCCTTTGTCTACCTGAATATGCTATTTAAGGTGAAAACCTCCACCCTTTGCAGAGAAACTCAGTTTTCCTGGTTTCCCCCATGTATACGTTATAAAGCTTTGTTTGATTTTCGCCTGCTATTCAGCCTCATGTCAATTTAATTTGTAGCCCAGCCAGAAAGGACCCAGAGTGGGTGGAGGAGAGTCTTCCTCTCCTCCACTTCCTTTCTGAAGACTTCCATCCCAGATTATAGTCCTCAAGCCCGGCTCTATAGAATGGTTACTGGTTATTTTGCATCATTAGCAAGAAAGTAGAACTCCTGGGTCAAATTCTAAGGGTGATCCCTGGGGGCTGGCGGGGACCAGTGAGGCGAGAGGCTCTAAGGGTGGAGAGATTCTCCAAAGAAGGCAGGCAAGGACGACCTCCCGGACCCGCGGAGCGGGGAGTGGGGCAGGGAGAATACAAGGGTCGGGGTGGCAGTGAGAGGAGCCCCCTAGATCAGGAGGCCCTGACGTCCACCCTGCACTTGGAAGGGCCCCCAAGTTGGAGGGTTCAATGAGTGGGTAAGGATCAAAGGAGAGGGCGGGGCCCCCAGGGCATAACCACGGTCTCCTGCAGGGGACGTAAGTGAGGGGAAGGGGGACTGCAGGGAATCCGTGAGCCCTGTGGGCTGCGGAGGCCCCAAGTTCGGATCTTGGGACTTTGACAGTCCGAGGCCTGTAGGGGGCAGTAAAAGGAAGAGGTTGGTCCTAAAGAGCGGATGGGGCACCGAGGCTACCTGGTGCGCCAAACAGACCATGCGCGGGATTCCCCTCTCAGCCCCTGGCCCCCCTCTCCCCTCCAAGCTTCGCTCGGCACCTCGAAGTCTGGGCTGGGTCTCCCCCGACGCGGCCGTTGCCACCCTGTCGGAGAGCGGAGAATCCACGCCGCTCAAAACCCGAGTAAACATGTCGTTTACAGGTCCGAGAAGACGCGGAAAGGGGGCAGCCAATCAGAGGGCGAGAGCGACGCTTGCGCTTAGAAACGTAGCCAATCAGAGGGCGAGGCTGCTAGCCCGCGGACCTCTCGGCTGCACGAAAAGTCTCGGACGCAACGCGGGCTCACCCGCCTCAGAGCCGACGATGATGTTTCGCGCAAAGATACGTTACACGAAGTGGGCGGGGCTCAAACCAACGGCCTCCCGGGTTCCTCTGCGAATCACAAGCTTCGCTCCCCGCCCCCCCCAGACGCAGAAGTTGATTGGTCACTTTTCAGAACTTGCCTGTCAATCTTGGAAGCTGGAGCAAGGGTATTTCCTTAGAGACGCAAGATCCCGCCTTCGACCTCCTAGCGTGGCGGGGGAGAGTCTTAAAGGGCCAGGTACATCGTGACTGATGAGGTCGGACCCTAATCGCAGGAATAGAAGAAACAATGACAGAACAAAAACGGAAGCAATCTCATTACGCTAGAATTGAGCAGTAAGCGCTACCTCCAGAAGAAAAAGAGACTCAAAAAGCTTAAGCAGCTTGGTCTAGGTCACGCACTTGTAAGTAGCAGAGCGGGGATTTGAACCCTGGTTTCCGAGCCCTGTATCGACCTAAGCCGCCTCTTTGGGAGACGACTTAAGCGATGAATGAGACCCGGATCCTAATCATAGTCGTTAGGATAGAAAAGCGCCCCTTCCTTATAAAAATCTCTAGATTCCAGCCACCTGGCCTTTGCTCACAACATTTCTTATGCATCCAACACCCACTCACTCTGAACTTGGCCCAAAGGCCATCCAACAAAGGGGTCTCCCCTCCCCGCCCTTGCCTGCAGGCAACGTCCTGTCCCCTCATCATGGTCCCCCCCCCTTTCTGTCCCTCCCTGTGTCCCAGCTATGGGCACCCTAGAATGTTACTGTCCGTCTCTGTCTGTTCCCCACCCCTCAAGACTGAGAGCCCTTCGAGGGCAGGTACTGGTTCTGCATCATTAGTGTCACCAGCATCATCCAGCACAGGCCTGGACTGGAGAGAACTCAGAAAGTGAAAGCTAGTATCTGGGGTTTCGCATCCTTCAAGTGGGATGTTGTGACCTTGTCGGGAGAAAATTCATACTCAAAGGCTCTGCTCGGGCTGAAAACTTTGCATCATTCCCCATTCCCCGCCCCCAGCAGGCCTGCAGCAAGTCCTGATGGTTCGTCCTCCAAAATACATCTTAGAGCGCACACTCTGGAGCCAAGCTGCCCGGGGGTTCAAATCCCAGTTTCGCCTCATATACGCTCCGTGACCTTGAGTAACTTACTTAGCCTCTCTGAGGCACAGTTTGATCATCTGTGAAATGAAGATTAAATAAATTAGAATTATTAATTAAAATAGACCTCTATCTTATAAAATAACTGACTAGTATCCCTCAAAACTGTAAAGGTTGTGAAAAGCAAGGAAAGACTGAGAAGCTGCTGCAGACCAGAGGAGGCTAAAGAGATGGGAGGACTAATTGGTATCCTGCCATGGATTCTGGAACAGAAAAAAAAAAAGAGGACATTCGTGTAAAAACCGGTAAAATCCAAATAGTCTAGAGTTTAGTTAAGAGTCAGGTCGGTTTCACAGTTGTGACAAATGTACCACAACGACGTAAGAAGATAACACGAGGGGAAGCTGGGGGAGGAGTATTTCGGAATGCTCTCTGTGTAACTTTTCTTTAAATATAAGTCTTCCAAAATAAAAAATTTATTTAAAAAAATGTACCTATCCCTCTCCTATTAGCTCATTCCTTTCCAGAGAGGAGGGGCTGGGGGCCCAGAGTCCCGGGTCTAAGGGAGGAGAGGCCTGGGGGCCCGGACCCCTGGGTCTGAGGGAGGAGGGGGCCGTGACCTGAGATGGGTGGAGTTAAGTAATTAGATCCTCGTGAGCCGCCCCGCGGGCCACGCCCCGTTTCTGACAAAGTCCTGCCCACTTTCTTCTGGACCCTTCCCCGCCTGCGTGGGCCCGGGAGAATTCAAGGGGAAGGTGCTGGAAGAGACTTCAGAGACCCCTGTGGAGATGGAACAGCAAAAGGAAGGGACTGGGCCTGAGGGGTGAGAGACTCAAGACCTCCTTGGGGGAGGCCAGAGACCCAGAAAGACGAGGGGACAGAGAGAATCAGAGAGAGAGTTCAACAGACCCAGAGAGTATAAAAAACAAAAGTCTCAGGTATCATTGCAGAGGAACAGAATCTTGGAGGGTCTTGGTGACAGAGTTGAGCGAGATACTTAGAAATGAGGGGAGAGCTGGAAACAGATATTCGTGGAACACAGAGAAATTTCAAGAACCAGGAGATTTGCAGATGCCAGGAACAGCTGTAGGGCTAGAGAAACAATGATAATTGTCCACATTTACTGAATGCTTCCCAGACTCAGCCCTTTAATATACACCTTTGGTACCACCAAAAGCCATCTTTTGAGGTGAAAAATTAAGGTTCGGAATGGATAAGTGATTAGCCCAGAGACACACCGTGAGTGAGGAATCAGAACTGAGTTCTGTCTGATGCTGGAGCTCTGGCAGAGCTGTCTGTCTCTCTGTAAAGAGAGAAGGGAGGAAACAGAGAGAGGAAGAGAGAGAGAGAGAGAAGGGGGTGAGGAAGTCAGAGGCAGACGCAGAACTGAGAACGGAGAGAAATGGACTCCCAGGAGGGGCAGAGAAACAGCCAGGCTGCTGTAAGGAAAGACATATGCAGGTGGTGAGACCCGCTGACCTGTCCTTTGTCATTCTAGGAACAACCTACCCCTGCCGTCACCTGGGCCTGAGTCGTGGCCCCCTGCACCTTTCCCAGCCCTGTCACCTTCTCTCCTGGGCACGCCAGACCCAGCCCACCTGGGGCTCCCCGAGAGCCTGTCGTCTGTCACCGTCCCCATCCGCCTGGATGCCCTCTCCTACCTCCTGCACAGCGCCCTGCTGGGGGCCTACAGCCTTCAGCAGTCCTTGCCCTCCTGCCCCTGCTCCCAGCAGGCATGCTGCACCCGGCCTGGCACCACCAAGAGGCCATGCCAGGGACGCGGCGGGTGGGAAGTCTGGCGCAGGCCAGGCCGGGGCCAGGGCCAGCAGCGATGGAGACCTGGGAGGGCTGAGCAGCCAGAGAGGAGCTGGGTGGGGGACTCTGGGGCTGGCCCCAAGACCCCACGAATGATGCCGCCCTCACCACCAACACCGCCTGCCCAGGATGGGAAGAGAGAAGCCCGAGGTCCGGAGACACCCCTGGACATGCCATCTGCTGCTGAGGACTGGGAGGCAGAGTACTAGGACCCTGAGGGTCCAGCACCCTGGGCTCTGGAGAGGGCCCCTCAGATCACCAGAAGGATTGTCCTGGAACCCAGGGTGACTCCAGCCCTGTCAGAGCTACCCCAACAAGCATCCTGTTCCCATCCCTCTTCCCCAAAACCACGGCCTCAGGAGTGGGGCCTGCAAGTCACCTGGTGAAACCTGGACCTGACTTAGGATCCCAAGCTAGAAAAAACCCTGAACCTCATACCCAGGCCCAAACGCATGGCTCTCCCCATTCCCAACACCATCCCCAGCTACAGTGACAACCCCACCCTCATTCTCACCCCCAGGGCTCCTCTAACCCCATCCCCAACCCCAAAGCCATTCCCACCTCCTTCTGCAACCCCCAGCCCATGCTGCCTCTCAGCACCCTATTCCCAATTCCCTTCATCCCCATTCCTGTCCCCAACTCCACCCTAACGCTCCTCATTCCCCACCTACCTCAGGCCAAGCCGGTCCTCATCCTTAGTTTCACCCCAAACCCAGCCCATCTTCAAACCCAGCCAGCCTCATCTCGTCCTCAACCTCCTTCCTGTCCCAGCCCCAACTGTGACATGTCCTGTGACCCCACCCTGCAAAGAACCCCATTGTTCAACATATCCAGACACCTGCAGCACCCACCCTGTTTCCTACCCTTGGGGGGCCCTGGGTGAACAATAAATAGATGACTGTCCCTATGTCTTGTGTCTCTGTGTGTGCTTATACAGCTCAGGCTAACCCAGTGTGCTGTGAGCAAGGCCTGTGAACTGGGGTAGGGGGGTAGGGTCATTGGGAGGGTCACAGAGAGAAGCCAGTGGGGCCAGGGGCTGCGGGGAGGGAGGGCCTGGATCCCTACTTCAGCGAATTCCAGCTGGGGCCTCTGCCACCACTGCACTTCTGCCTGCTGGAAGCTGCTGGGATGCGGGGCCATTGTATGGGGAGGCTTAAGGGATTTGGGGGATCCAGGGAGCAGAGAGGCCAGCGACCTGGCTCAGCTCAGTGTGCACAGAGGGGCCGAGGCAGGCAGAGGGCTCGGGGCAAGCTCTGCCACTCAGGTAGGGATCAGGCATGGGACCTGTGGGCTCCCCCTCCCCAGGCCTAAGGGTCCATTCCTCTAGCTCCTTCGTCTCCCTGGGGACCTGGTGGTGTCCCAGCCTCTAGCCCCCTCCTCACCTAGGACCCAAGAGTCCAAGCCCCCAACCCCGTCCTCCCCCAAGGACTTGGTGTCCCAACGCCCAGCCCCCTCCTGGCTTAGGACCTGGAAGCCTAGGCCCCCAGCCCCTTTCTCCCCCAGGACCCAGGGGTCTAGGTCCTCAGTCCCTTCTCCTTCAGACTCAGGAGTGCGGACTTCTAGCCCCGTACCCGCCTAGGACCAAGGAGTCTGGGCCCCCAGTCCCCTCCTCCCCCAGAACCCAGGAGTCCAGGCCCCCAACTCCTTCCTCTCCCAGGACCCAGGAGTCCAGGCCCGCAGTCCCCTTCTCCCTCAGACTAGGAGTCCAGGACTCCAGTCCACTCCTCCCGCAGGACCCAGGAGTTCTGTCCTCCAGCTCCTTCCTCTCCCAGGGACCTGGTATCCAGCTCCTTCCCACTCAGGTACAGGCACCCCCAGTCCCCTCCTCTGCCAGGACCCAGGACCTGACCCTTCTCTCTCCTTCCCCACAGATCACCATGTACAGCTTCATGGGTGGTGGCCTCTTCTGTGCCTGGGTGGGGACCATCCTCCTGGTGGTGTCCACAGCGACAGACCACTGGATGCAGTACCGGCTGTCGGGGTCCTTGGCCCACCAGGGCCTGTGGCGGTATTGCCTGGGCAGCAAGTGCTACCTGCAGACGGACAGCATCGGTGAGGCTCTGGGGCAGGGTCTGGGCCATGCCTGGGGTCAGAGCCCCCACAGGTCAGGGGTCAGAACCTTCCCACGGGGCAGAACCTCACAGCTGAAGGGCCACCTGTTTTGCAGATGGAGAACCTTATGGCTCAGAGAGGGAAAGGGACCAGCCCAAGGTCACTCAGCGTGGAAGGGGCAGAATTGGGATTTCAGTATTTTTTTCTAGTACTACAATTACAGAATGTATTGACTTAGAGCTTAAGTAGAGAGGTGACATTTCCTGGCAGGAAATAGATGTCAGGTACAACATTTGGGGCTGAGGTTGTCAGAACAGGATTTTCTAAATATCTACTATGTATCAAGAGCTACCTTCGGTGCTGGGGCAGACAGAAGCAATACGGACCCTAAATTTGCTAAATACTGGATGAGATATTTTTTTAATACTTACTGTGTGCCTGGCCATGTAATATATATGTATATACTACAAGATATATTGTAAAAATGGGGATAAATATAGTACTTACAGTATAGGGCTCTTGCAATCTATATAATAATAATATATATATACTATATATCTCTACGTATCTCTTTCCATATATGTATATATTTGTATGTATATACATACATGTATATGGAAAGAGATACGTAGAGATATATACTATATTATATAATACATTATACAAAATACATTATATAATATATTAAATTAATAATATATAGTATATTACATATTATATATCCAATAATAGTAGCAGTCATGATAATAGTAATACGTGGCATTTATTGAGTGTTGTGTGCTACATGATATTCTAAGTGCTTTACCTGGATTAACTCCCTTTAGTCTCCCAACAACACTTAGAGGGAGTTGCCTTGTGTCTATGAATAAGACACGATGAGACTTGACCTCAAAAAGCCACACATTGTCTTGAGGGGGGGTTTGGGAGGAGGAGCCAACGCTCCCTGAGCCCCGCAACATGACAACATGACAGGCCCATGCCGGGAGGTTTCACCCACCCAGTCTCACTGAACCTGCCCTGAAGGAGTTGCAGCAGGATGCCCGTTTGCCGGAGCAATAAACTGAGGCAGGGAGAGGTGGAAAGGCTTGCCTTGGGCCACCAGCTTCGGAGCCCAGTCTACCTGACATCACGCACCCATTTCATTTCTGGCTGTCTCCTTTGTCTCATTTCAACCGACCTTTTCTCCTGCTTCAGACTGGGGCCCCCTCTCCCCTGGGGACAGCTCTGAGTCACCTCTCTGTCTTATCTCTGCTGGAGGTGGGGGAGAGAGGGAGGGTGGTGGAGGTCTTCAGGTTCATTTGACATCAAAACCGGGAACCTCAGGGACGTATCTCATCCCAACTGATTCTTGGGTATTTGTCCAAACAGCTGGCTTAATTTGCTCATCAATTGTAATCTGCCCACCAAAACTAGAGCAGGAATCCTGAACTTGCTTTCCAGAGACCAGACCCAGCCAAAGACATGTATGCAGAGCGTTTTTAAAGTTTCTGAAGTCGTTGCCAGTATTAAAAGATCTGGAGATTTTACATAAAAATGTGGACTTGCAGCTCTTTTTGGAAAAGCCAATTCCGCATGTCCTCCTCCAGGTCCACAGTGGTCAGCTGAGTATGAGACGAGCTGTCCCCTTCAAAATGGGTGTACCAGTCGGGGCCTCTTCAGGAGACAGAAACCACAGAGTGACTTGAATAGGAAAAGTTTTCTCTAAAGATGGAGCTGGGAGGCAATAATCGCTCATTGGTACATGGGACATACGTGTCCCGTTCACCACAGCGCCCACTGCAGCGCCCACCGCAGCCCCCACCGCAGCCTGGTGTCTCCCAGCACGTCTTGTCCTCATGTGCAGCTGTCACCAGTCCTCAGAAGCATTTCTGTTTTCCGCCCCTGCATGACACCTGTAGGAAACAAATAGGCTACAACATACCCTGTAAGTCCTCCAGACTTTTAAATACGCAGAGGCATCTGTTAGTTTTGTTGGGGCTACCATAACATAGCACCACATATTGGGTGGTTTAAACAGAAATTTACTGTCTCACAGTTCTAGAGGCCGGAAATCTAACATCCAGGTGTTGGCAGGGTTGGTTCCTTCTGAGGGTTCTGAGAAAGAACGTGTTCCAGGCCCCTCTCCTCGCTTCTGATGGTTGGGTGTCAGTCTTTGGTGTTCCTTGGCTCGTAGGTGCATCACCCTGATCTCTGCCTTCATGTTCATATGGGGTTCTCTCCGTTTGCACGTTTGTGTCCAAATTTCCCCTTTTTGTAAGGACACCAGTCATATTGGGTTAGGGGCCCACTCTACTCCAGTGTGACCTCATCTTAACTAATTACATCTGCAAAGACCGTATTTCCAAATAAGGTCATATTCTAGGCACTGGGGGTTAGAACTCCAACATATGAATTTGGAGGTGGGAGAAGAGACAGTTCAACCCATAACAACATCTATCGAGAAGTAGCCAGGAATTTTTCTCACTGAGGCTGGCACAAGACAAAAGACTGCATTTTGCAAAGATCTGAGACTGTTTACTTTTCAGTGGTAGGATGCGAGCTCCATCCAAGGTGCTCCGAGGAACAGAATCAAGAACGAGGGCTTTGGAACTTGAGTTTTAATGCCAGTCCCACCACTAATTATGGGACCTTGGGCAAACTGCTTCAGCTCTCTGAGCCTGTTTCTTCTCCTGAAATATGGGGATAAAAATAGCGCCTACAGCATAGGGCTCTTGGAAGAAACCAATAGGATTATATGTGTGAAGCGAGACTGGCACATACTGGGCAGTTGCTAATTGGAAGATGAGACCATGATTATTGCTCCTAGGGCATCTCCATTCATTCAGCATGTTTATTAACCATCTATTATGTGCCAGGTGCTGGAGATATAGCTGAGAATGAGAAAGAAAAGCCCTGTCCTCATAGAGCTCTCCTCTCGATGGGAAGAGACAGAGATGATAAACAAGTTAAAAATAAATAGGATATGGGCAAGTGGTATGAAGGAAATGAGAGCATGGGAGAGAGGATAGAAAGTGAATAGCAGGAGGATATAGGGAATCAGCATTCATTCATTCATTCACTCATTCATTCATACAACAAACATTTCTCCACATAGAATCAACCCATTTCCTGTCCTCAGGGAGCAATCAGGCTGGAGGGGGAGACAGAAAAAGAATCCTAACCCATAGTAAGGAGTAAAGATGATGCCTGGGGGGTGAAGGGATGCTTCCTAGAGGAGGGGACTTGGGAGCTGGGCTTTGAGGGATGAATAGGAGTTTGCCAGGTGAAGAGGAGGGTGTTTGCAGAAAGGTGAAAGAGGATCTGGGTCAGGGATGTGGAGAGGAAAGGCACTCGGGCCCTCAGAGGTAGCAGCATTCACCGCTGAGTACAGAGGAGGCAGGAGAATGACCGTGGGGTGCTCCCACAGCATACTGGAACGCCACCCGGGCCTTCATGATCCTGTCCTCCCTGTGTGCCACCTCCGGCATCATCATGGGCATCCTGGCCTTGGCTCAGCAGCCCTCCTTCGCCCGCCTCTCCCGGCCCTTCTCCGCAGGCATCATGTTTTTTGCCTCCAGTGAGTGGACTCCCCTACCCCTACCTGTCTCCCCACTCCCAACTCCCTGCCCAACTCCAACCCCAATCCATCTCTACCCCCACACCACTCTCATCCCGGACTCTTCCTCGCTCTCAACTCCTTCCCCACCCTAATCCCATCCCCATCCCCAACACCGACTCCAAGACCATTTCTTATTCCAGCCTATTCTGACGCCAGCTGGTGTGCTGCAATTCAATTCCGGCACCAACCACCCAGAGTTGGCGTCAGACCCCACAGGTTTAAGGGCACGGTTTGGTTCCTAAGGCTGCCCCTACTTCAGCTGCAAGTGGGGTCCCCAGGCCATCTGTACTTTTGACCAACTGGCTACAGATTCAGGGGCTCCCAGGACCCATTCAGGTTCAAAAATTTTCTACAACAGCTCACAGAACTCAGGAAAGCACTACACTTACAATTAGTTTTATTATAAAGGACACAACTCAGCACCTGCCAGATAAAGAGATGCACAGGGTGAAGCCTGAGACGGTGTGAACACAGAGCTTCCGTGCCCTCTCCCTGTGGAATCACGGGATGCACATTGATGTGTTCACCAACCAGGAAGCCCCAGTGCACTTTGGCATCCCGAGTTTCTATTGGAGTTTCATTACAGAGGCACGATTGAGTGAATCATTGGCCACGTGATTGGACTCAATCTCCAGCTCCCAACCTCTCCCCAGAGTTGGGCTGACATGCAGTGGCTCAAAGCCCTAATCTTCTGTTCTCACTGTTGGTCTTTCTGGTGACCAGCTCCCATCCTGAGTCATCTCAGCTCACCAGTATAAACTCAGGTGTGATCCCAGAGGCTCAAGAATAACAAAGACACTCCCATTACTCAGGAAATTCCGAGGATTTAGAGTCTCCTTCCCGGGAAGGAGAGACAAAGACCAGTCAGAGTCTTTATGACCCAGCACTACTCTGCCCATCCCTGCCCCATCCCCACCCAACCTACTCCCCACTCTTCTTGACTCACTTTCAACTCAACCCCCATCCTCACCCTCATTCCTACTCATACCCACCCCGCCCCTACCCCTTCCTCAGTCTCACTCCCACCCCCTCCTCCAAGCCCAGCCCAGCCACACTGCCCACCCTCTCTCCCCAGCCTTTTTCGTCCTGTTGGCCTTGGCCATGTACACTGGCGTCACCGTCAGCTTCCTTGGTCGCCGCTTCGGGGACTGGCGCTTTTCCTGGTCTTACATCGTGGGCTGGGTGGCCCTGCTCATGACCTTTTTCGCAGGTACGGGGGCTTGGGGGTGGGAAGGTCAGTGTCTGTGGCAGAGCGGGCAGCACTCCAGAGGGCAAGATGACGGGGTGTCTCACGTGGGCGGGAGCACTAAGCCTGAAGGTACGCTCCAGCCCTACGGACACCCAGGGAGGCAGGGAGTGGTGGGGCGGGGATTGGGGTGGGAGCAGGGGCCTGGAGGGCTTCGGGAGGATCCATTGGGATCTCTTCTCTTGTAGGTATTTTCTACATGTGTGCCTACCGGATGCATGAATGTCGGCGTCTGTCCACTCCCCGCTGAGCCCAAAGTGTCCCGCATCCACCTTCATCTGGAAGTTATAATGAGGTCACTGAAGAGGAGGGGGAGGGTCTAGAGGCTGAAATCCTGGTTCCTGGGGGCATGAGGGGGCCCGGTCCTGGACCCTGGGTGGGGGACCCTGACTCTTGTGTCCCAAGAGGGAAAGAGGAAGAATGGGGCCTGGTGGGAGGCAGTTGAGAGGATCCAAGGCCCCACCCATCAGGGAGCGTGTTAGAGAAATGGAATATGCATTAGAGTGACTTTTTGGAAGCTAATAAAACTGATGTGAAACTACTAAAGTGTGGTCCCTGAGGGGCTGAGGTGGAGAGAAACAGGTGGGAGTGTGGTGGATGGGGTGGGGGGTGGTCGTATTATGGCAACCCAGCCTGTTCAGGTCCAGAGGGATGGGACAGAGACAAATCACGTAGTCCCCATCCAGGGATTAACTACAGTTCAACTTCTAGGAAACTGACGTGTAGGTCCAGTTCTGATACCGATTCCAACGTGTATGTGTGTTTTTTCCCCACACCACCAGCAGTTAACTCAGTTCTGACACTATCTACCTGGAGAGAGTGTCACATCCCACAGGTTAAGGGCTCAGTCTTACAAGACTGTCCCCCACCCCCACTTCAGATGCCAACCACAAGTCCAGGTTGTCACCGGTGCTTCTGACCAATCAGCTATAGATCAGAGGTTCCCACAACCCCTTCCTTGGTTTTGATTAATTTGCTAGAGGAGCTCACAGAACTCAGAGAAACATTTTACTTACTAGATCACTTGTACTATAAAAGGATATTATAACTCAGGAACAGCCAGTTGGAAGAGATGCACAAGGTGAGGTATGGGGAAAGGGCTCAGAGCTTCCATGCTCTCCGAGCAGACCAATCTCCTCAAACCTCCATGTGTTCACTGAAGGAGGGAAGAAGAGTATCCTCTACCCACTCTGGGTCCTCCCTGGCTGGGCTACAGATTAAATTGACATGAGACCCAATAGCAGGAGAAAAATCAAACAAGGTTTAATAACATGTAGACATGGGAGAAACCAGGAAAACTGAATTTCTCAACAAATGGCGGAGGTTTTCACCTTAAATAGATTTAGATAAAGACAAAGGATGATGTTGGGGGTGGGGAAGGAGACAGCTATGAGAGATTACCAGAAAGCACAGTAATCAAGGGTTTGCAGATTTAAGTCCTCTCCTTCCGTACTGATAAAGAGTTTCCAGAGATAAGGTCTTCCCAGCACACAGAAGGAGATAGCTTTAGAAATGTAAATGTTCGGTAAACAGAACTTTGATAAGAATGGGCTTAACAAGGACCCTGCCGGTCTGTCCAGACCCAGAGTTAAATTCCTTTAGGCAGTAGGGGATGTCAGATGTCCTTCAGAGAAAATAATCAAGGTAAAGAGACATATTTTGGGGTGGCCAATTTTGATCTCCCACATCACCAACCTGGAAGTTCTCTGAATCCCATCTTTTTGACTTTTTATGGAGGTTTGATTACACAGGCAGGATTGATTAAATCTTTGACCATGGACTGATTCAACCTCCAGGTCCTCTCCCCTCCCTGGAGGTCAGGCGGTAGGACTGAAAGTTCCAGCCCTCTAATCACGTGGCTGGTTCCCCTGGCAACCAGCCCCCAACCTTAGGTGCTTCCCTAAAGTCACTTCATTAACATAACAAGACCCCTTGATGGCCCTCATCAGTTAGGAAATTCCAAGGGTTTTAGGAAATCTGCCAGAAATGGGGACAAAGACCAAACATATATTTCTTATTATAAATCATAGTATCACAGTAGGATAATAGGATACATGAAAAGACCTGTGATAAAACAACAGTCCTCACGCCGCCTCCAGTCAGAGCTCCCAGCCTCCTCTCCCCTCCCGGGATGGGCCCCTCCAACTAGAAACACCAGAATTCTGACCTGCATCTACTCCTGAAACTGCCTCTTCACACACCATTCACGAGCTTGACCTTCTCTTCATTCACTCATTCATTAGTTCATTCAATAAACTGATGCCAAGTGCCATGAGAGTTACTGATGTCTATCATAAAATAATAAGGCTATTTAGCAAGGCTGATTCTAATAATAAGAATATTTATTACAGCCTATGCTAATGATGGTGCTCAGGGCAAGCTGCCCCAGGAAGCACCACTCTGGTATGCGGATTATTTCGAGCTGAAGACAATAAGGACTCAGAGAGCTCAGGAA